TTTTCCTTTTGTAGCAAGCAGCAAAAGAATTGTAACATGACGTGTTTGAGGTTGATGTACCTACTTAAAGGGGACCTATCATGCAAAAGTCACTTTTTGATGTCTTTTATATATCAGTCTGTGTCCCTGGTGTGTCAGGGAACTCACGCACCGTCAGAAAACAAAACCCTCTCTCTTTTCCTCCGTACCCAAATCTCTAAAAACGGGAGAACAACGGAGCTGATCCAGATTTGCGTCCGATATGACGTAATATCTGAAATGTGGACCCACGGCCCAATCAGAAACGTTGCTATCAGAAACAATGCCCGACTGTTTTGGACGTAATATGGTCGGTGTTTACATTAGCATGGCTAACACTCAGAGCTAACCTGTACTGGAGAGCATGTGTGTGAAGAAGCAGGAAGTAAAAAGGAACTCACCTTGTGGTATAACCGGCAAGAGAGAAAGCCTTTGAGCTCCAAACTGTTTCAGAAAGAATCCTTGATAATCCATGATATGGCGTTTCATCACGGCAGTATTTAGTTTAGACAGTAGCTGCCGGGTCCCACATGAGCTCAGACCCCTCCTTTTTTATTTTTAAAGCTTTATTCCCCAAATCAGCACTTTAGAAACAGGAAGTGAAATAGAGGGATATGAGGCATGGCTAGAATGGGTGATCTGTTTGGTGTTTTGAGCAAAACACTTCATACACATGTTTTTTATATATTTTTTATATATCTGAGACCTATGCTATTGCCTAAAAATAGCATGATAGGTGACCTTTAAATCAGGCACACTATTAACAAGTATTTACAGGTATTGGTCTCTTGACGCATTAAGCCTTATAGCAACGATATCTCCTTCAACTAAAAACACCCAAACAAAAGAAATCAAACTGCAGCTGAGGAACCAGACAGCAGACCTTATTCTAACAACTCTTCCTGCCTGTCTACAAATAAATAACTTTTCAACCGTTACAAGAAGCTGACTTCAAAATAAAAGCATAAGTAACTTACAAACTGTACTTAAATGATTACTATGTGCTAAACGTCATACAAAATAAAAAAATAGCTTTAACAAACCCCCTGACCCTGATCTCTCCTCTCAGGTGATCCAAGGCTGGCTCTTCCTCTCCTCCCTCCTCCTGCTCTTCTTCTTCTCCTACATCTACCTCAAGTAAGCTCAACCTTTGATCTCAGCTCCCACATATTCTTATAAATGTCCCGATGTCTTATCTTCCCCATGCTCTGTGTAACAGGGAGGTTTTCAAGACCTACAACGTGGCCATCGACTACTTCACGCTGGCGATCATAGTGTGGAACTTCGGGGTGGTGGGCATGATGTGTATTCACTGGAAGGGTCCTCTGCGGCTCCAGCAGGCCTACCTCATCATGATCAGCGCCCTCATGGCCCTCGTCTTCATCAAGTACCTGCCCGAGTGGACCGCCTGGCTCATATTAGCCGTCATATCCGTCTACGGTAAATCTTCCTTTCTATTGGGCTGCTTTAGAGAAGATGATGAATCCTTCAACTTTTGGGCGGGATGCTTTTTCTGCACCGATGTTCATCTGGGTCCTATTAAGGCGTAAGGAAAGGGATAGCTTTGACAAGGTGTTTTACAATTTTCATTATTTTATGATCCTTAGGAAAGGAATAGATTTGGAACCAAAGCTGAAGATATATAAATGTTAACCGACAGTACTTTAATTCACTTTTTATTGCTTTTCAAATCATACATCACACAGCACAAAGACATAATACCTCTGAGACACGCGGTGTAGGGGTGGGCGGATCGATCCCAAAATATCGATACCTCCGATCAGAGGTCGCGTTAACCGAATATTTTCCGTCTATGACCGAGTTTTTTTAACAATGACGGAAAAATCTGAAAGCAGATTAGAACAAACTCAGAACAGCGCCAAAGCTTCCCCGCAGCGAGGCTCCGGTGTTATGCCGTGTTGCGCATGTCAGCCAAAAAGGAGATGATTATCGTTTCCAAACCTAACTTTGCCGTACAAATCATCGGAATGTCTGAGTGCTTTACGCTGTGGCGCTTCCGCAAGGTGCAGTGGGCATGCATAACACCGGCGCTAACAGTTCACGAGCTATTTCACAACTGTTAATGAAAACTTAGCGAAGTGTGATGTGTACAAGAAGGCAGTTCGCTACTGTGGCCACTTTGTATTGTTACTTTTCATGTTTGCACTTTTTAAATTTGCAAAAGCAAAACGTTTATTTGTCTATAAAAACTCTCCTGTCTTTAATCATGAAAATTAATTCAGATTTAATAATAATAATTTTATTTTGGGGGGCGCCTTTCATAACACCCAAGGACACCTTACAGGGCATAGGGGCAATATAGGGAACAATTAAAACAGAGGATTTAGTGAAGTATCAGCCGGGGTAAGACAAGACAAACAACAGGAAATGGACTATAGAAGGACACAAAAGGACACAGGGATTTACACAGACAGATTGAGTCTATTTATGATGCTTTCAGCTCAAAAATCATGTCATGCAAGTCTCCCCTACATGAAAGTACATAAGACGGTATCGTACTGGCCCTGAAATACTTGGTATCGGATCGAATCCAGATGTTGTGGTATCGTAAGGAAGCTAAATGTTGCTCCAAAGTTTCCCTAAATCTAGGCAAGGGAAAAGCTGGCATGGTCCTATTCACAGGGGTTTCCTCACCTCTCACTTTCAGATATCTGGTTGCAATTGGGTTCTTTAGATACCCTCAATCTTCCCTTTAAACATATGCCCTCTGTATGCTAAACACATGCAGTACATTTAGTTTTTTCTCCCGCTTTTTGTCCAAAAATGGTGTTAGAATATTTCCTCTAAATAATTTTAGCTTGCATGAATGAATCAGATGGTGCTGCAGGTGATCCCCTCCCGCCCCCTAAGTAAGGAGCCTATGTGGGTCTAAAATGGTCAAGAAAAGATAAAACCATAACTCTTAAACAACTTAATGTTAATTATTTTGTTTATTGTGAGGATTTATTTTTCTGAAAGGAAGGATGTGTTTCAAAAACTGAAACCTAAATGTGGATTGAAAGACACGTTTCTGAGATGAAAGGGAAGTGATGGGGAGACTGATTTAAGGCGGGACATAAATATGCCACCACACAAAAATACAAAGGGCGTTTACCAATGACCAGACCTGTGGACGGATCTCTGAAGCCTCTGGAGCCTCTGCTTCTCGTCATGTCGGAGGGGAGGGGGGGGTCTGTTGTCTCTCTCTCTCAGGTTGTCTCTCTCAGGTTGTCTCTCTCTCTCTCAGGTTGTCTGTCTCTCTCATGTTGTCTGTCTCTCTCACGTTGTCTGTCTCTCTCACGTTGTCTGTCTCTCTCACGTTGTCTGTCTCTCTCACGTTGTCTGTCTCTCTCACGTTGTCTGTCTCTCTCACGTTGTTTGTCTCTCTCATGTTGTCTGTCTCTCTCACGTTGTCTGTCTCTCTCACGTTGTCTGTCTCTCTCATGTTGTCTGTCTCTCTCACGTTGTCTGTCTCTCTCACGTTGTCTGTCTCTCTCATGTTGTCTGTCTCTCTCACGTTGTCTGTCTCTCACGTTGTCTGTCTCTCTCACGTTGTCTGTCTCTCTCACGTTGTCTGTCTCTCTCACGTTGTTTGTCTCTCTCATGTTGTCTGTCTCTCTCACGTTGTCTGTCTCTCTCACGTTGTCTCTCTCTCTCATGTTGTCTGTGTCTCTCACGTTGTCTGTCTCTCTCATGTTGTCTGTCTCTCTCACGTTGTCTGTCTCTCTCATGTTGTCTGTCTCTCTCACGTTGTCTGTCTCTCTCATGTTGTCTGTCTCTCTCACGTTGTCTGTCTCTCTCACGTTGTTTGTCTCTCTCATGTTGTCTGTCTCTCTCACGTTGTCTGTCTCTCTCATGTTGTCTGTCTCTCTCACGTTGTCTCTCTCCCTCTCAGGTTGTCTCTCTCCCTCTCAGGTTGTCTGTCTCTCTCTCAGGTTGTCTGTCTCTCTCTCTCAGGCTATCTGTCTCTCAGGCTGTCTGTCTCTCTCTCTCTCAGGTTGTCTGTCTCTCTCTCTCTCAGGTTGTCTGTCTCTCTCAGGTTGTCTGTCTCTCAGGCTGTCTGTCTCTCTCTCTCTCAGGTTGTCTGTCTGTTGTCTCTGTCTCTCAGGTTGTCTCTCTATCTCTCTCTCAGGTTGTCTGTCTGTTGTCTGTCTCTCTCAGGTTGTCTAACTCCAGCTCTCTGGTTTCTCTCCTCTCAGATCTGTTGGCGGTGCTCTGTCCCAAAGGGCCCCTGAGGATCCTGGTGGAGACGGCTCAGGAGAGGAACGAGCCCATCTTCCCCGCCCTCATCTACTCCTGTAAGAAACTCTGAATACAACAAAGAGACGAGTCAATGGAAAAAGGCTCATAAAATAACACTTCAACTCCTTTTAGCGTCTGCACTCCCCCTGAGTCTAATGAGCAGTTAAAAGGTCTTCCACAGCACTCTGCCTTTTAATGCTGATATGCATTGATAATTCTGTCTATCGAAAAATGTTCTTGTATTTCTTTTGGCTGTGGTGTAGAAAGAATGAGAGAATATGTTTGTAAACAGCCACAAGGAAACTCTTATCTTTTATTATTAATGTACACTTACTTTATTGATACAACCCAATGGTTACACTTTGTCTCAATCCTAAGATGCATAAGTGGGTCTTTTTGGACCCGGTGAGGTGGTTTTCCTGAAGTATCTTTGTAATACATTTTTTTTTATCATTTCATATTCCAGCT